TATTGCTCTCTTTTTCTTCTGCTTGTTTTCTCTTTTTTATTTCTCAACAGGTGATCCAGGTGATTGATATATGTATTTTTTGTCTGCTTATTTTGTTGGTTTTTGTTTTTTGCCCTTTATCCCCGTCCCTCTTCCCCGCTGTTTATCTTTCCCTCTTTCTTTCTCCCCTTTCTTTTCCCCAGTCAAGTCTGTCCCGTATTTAACAAGTGAAAATAAAATAAAATAAACAATAAAAGGTGAATCAAATAGACCATTACAGCAAGGCTGGGATGGTCCATTTGGTAAAGTAAATCCGTTGGGCATCTTTCTTTGTCTTTAGACAATAATTCTGATGGCAAAAGAGCCAAACGGGACAGGCAAAAAAAAAAATTGTACAATGAGGGATAATAAAGGACATTTCTGTTCTATTTGATTCTATTCTTCCCTATGTGGCCCGTGAATCACACTATGGGAGTGGCTTCAGATGTTTCTGTGAGCTGTGTCCCCTTCAGCTGTATCTGCCAAGATTTGTTTGGATTTCCAGAGACTTTATCTTTCTCATCAGGTCATTTCCTATGTGTAACAGCACCATTTCCTGCCTCTGTGGAGCACCATCAGCGATTACAGAAAAACCAAACCGTTTCTCCCATTTTCATCTTTGTTTCTCTTTCTACTCATTTTCTTTTCTCCTACTTCTGTTTCTCTCTGCATCATTCATATTTAATCTTGAAAGATTTAACATTGGCGTGACAAAATAAAAATTAGTCTTTCGCTGTTATTATCAGTGGTTAATCATGGTATTTTGACCCACATAGTTCCTTTAGAGTGAGCAAGAAACAAAGCTAATTTCTGTATGACCCCCAACATGCTGACCGTAAATCTTAATAAAAAAATGTTCTTGGTCTTCCTGCGTCATTTACAAGAAACAAATAAAACTGTTTGCTTCTTGTGGCTATCTCTCCCCTACTCTCTACTGATTCCATTGTCCACCTGCCAGAGAGAGGGCGAAAATACTTGTTCAGAACAATAAGCACTTCCTCCTGCAAAGCGGTGCGCTCAGCAGCATCAGAGGAATCAACAGAAAACATGTGTGATCAGCCATTGTACTGAGCTATGCTCCAGCCTTCCTGCATTAGCCTGTTTCCTAAACTCACCGTGTGACCTTGGACTGTACTTCTGTCTGTGAGGAAGAAACACGTATATGCTCACAAAGCTACATACAGTAAATATATGTTCCACCAGCACAAAAAGAAAAGGGGAAAAATGAAATGAACTTTGGTCATAACTTATACATAAATGTTCAGTTAGGGAAAAAAATATTTGAACACCTGCTGATTTTGTAATCAGTCTATAATTACAGTAGTAGGTTTATTTGAACAGTGAGAGACAGAACAAATGAATTTGCATTTTCATGAATGAAATAAGTATTTGATTTGCAAAACGTGCTTTAGTACTTGATGGAAAGCCCTTTGTTGGCAATCACAGAGACGTGTCTTGTAGTTGACCACAAGTTTCGCACACATTGCACACACTTCTGTGTGGAGGGAGCTGAGAGTTCGAGTTGCCAGACATCAACCATGAAACATTAATGACTTGGAGAGGATCTGCAAAGAGGTGTGGGACAAAATCCCCCCTGTGGTGCTCATGAAAATGCATCTTTCTGGATTTTTTTAATTGTTTTTTTGTTATTTTTCTCTCAGTAAGTATAGCTGTGACACCTAACGGTCACTTTAGGCAGCACCCCATAAGCCATGCGCGCAGTTCAGCAGTGCTTTTTGGGAACTGATTCAATTAATATAATAAAATAAATGTAAATAACTGCCACACAGAACAACAGCATACTAATTCCACTTTGCATTTTACATGAAAATGCCATTAAAATATAATTAAATGACTGTTTTAAACAAAAAAAAAATGAATTTAATACAAAATGTATTTAAATTTCACTAAACATTAATACAGTTTCTGTGTTCAGTAACAAACTTATCAGAGATCTTAGTGGTGCACTTTCAGTTTAGAAGTCAGCGCTCTGTAATGGTGTTTTCATGGTATTTTCTTCAAGCAGGGATTAAATCACTGAGCTCTAGGTTATTATGTTGCATCTCTGACCTTAAGGTCAAAATGGTAATCCCCAGTCATTTAAATAATATACAGACACCCCTGGCACAGTAGATAATGAGTGCTAAAAATGAAATTAAAGAAAGGATAAAGCTAAACATATATTTTCACTACAGTGGTAATCATTTTTCACTTAACTAAAAATTCCCAGTATTTCATTAGAAAAAAACCCTACAATAAATGACTCCACACTAGGATTTTTCGTTAGCTTTCTCTCCAGCTGGTCAACCTTGCAGTGATAGGTTTGACCCTTTGAAAGCCTAAATCCCTGGGCTGGGAGCAGCTGCATTTAGGAGGCATAGGTTTGTATTTTGTTCATACCTGTTTAATATGCACATTCACACTCCTCCAAGCAAAAGATGCAAAGCAACCTGATATCACACTGACTCACCAACAAAGTGACAATCATTCTTTGAAAGCAACACAGTCTTTCTGAGAGCATCAATGCATTTCATTCCATCACCCCCTCTCCCTTTTTTAACTGTCACGTGATACCTGAGTCTGTTCGTCCAGTAATCCATTGTTTATTGGAGCTGCATTTTCTGTACTCATTTATCACACTGGCCGAAGTATGTAGCCAGTGTCACGTGACTGTGAGTCGCATGTGGGCACAGCAGAGCAGGCTAATCTGTTCACCTGCGCTTGACCCACGAAGGCAGCCTACTCGGCCGGACGTGCCTATTAATAAGCAGGGGCACATCATCTCAAAATGTGGGTCAAGGGGACAAAGGACAGTGGAATAGGGGACAGATGACATAGAACCTGACGTTCTTTGCGCAATAATGGGGTTATGACGCCTCCCCCTGGGGTTTCACGTGAACTGCAATCCATTTTTTTCCTCTACACAATAAATATGCTGCAAACCTGCGGGAGAGAGAGTAGAACACGACGACAGAGGGTTTTATGTATTTTATGTCTTATGATTTCTTACTTCTGCACATGTCAGAGCTCGTGCTGAAGCCCTCCGCCCACTGAGCTACGGCTCAGACCCTCCTCTCTCATTCACTCCGGACGCATCTTCCACCAGCTGTGTCCAGCATGACTGCCGACAGCAGGTACAAGAGCCGCGCGCCCCAGACAGGTAAGCTTTCTCAGCAAGGCTGCTTAGTGGTGCCTCCATGACGCGCGTAAGCGTTTTAACGTGTTTGCTCGGATTCTCTCCTCCTGCCATCCCTGCCTCGTGTCTGATGGAATTTGGCTTCACGTCTCAGATGATGGAGAGGTAAGAGGCACGCAGCAGATAAGTGTGTGTGTGTGTGTGTGTTTATACATGACTTACAAAATAAAAGCCCTATTCTGCGTAGCACCTGCACGGGTGAAATGCTGTAGTATTTCCTGACGCTTCTTCCTGTCTTAAAGATCAGTGGCATATGCAGCAACGACGCTGCATACTACAGGTCAGCAGTAACAGAGACCCCACTTCTGCATGGGTGCCTCCAGAATTTTTTCGCAGGGTGGGGAAAAATAACATAAATAATGTAGGACAGTCTTGCCAGGGAGGGGGGCAGTTTGTAACATCTGCACACATCTGTAAGCATGGCTCTGCTGGACAGCTCTGTGAACACTTTTGGTCTTTTATGCTGGTCTGATCATCATCTCATTGAGTCCAGCTTCTCAGTATTTGGGCCTTTTTCTTTCTTTCATTGGCAGGGCTGTCAAAGTTTTTAATAAAAATTAAAATGTTTCAGTAATGAGTCAGTCTGTTTAGTCCAGTGACGTCTCCACATCTTGGGCTTTTCCAAGTCTTAAAGATCCCGAGTTAATCCTGAGTGATGTGAAACAGAAAAAAACAAAACAAAAACCAAACCCTTGCACTAAGAAGCTAGAATTACAGAGGTTTTGCCATTTCTGCTTAGAAAACATCCTGTACAACTGGATTAGCTAATTATTTCAGCTAACTATGGTGGTAGAATTGAAAAGTTATTTCAGTTTCTTCCCCTTTAACCCACCTTTGTTCAGAGTGCCCCTTGTATAGATAAGTTTTGACAGCATGTGGGTCTAGCGTCTGTGCTCATCCAGAGCTGTGTGACTGAGACGACCATATTAGGGATATCCAGCCCAATCTCGGAACTTGGAAAAATCATCCTATATTGTTCAAACTTCCTTTTTCTAACACAAAGTCAGTGAAAGTCAATTAGCTTAAAGGAGGATGTTATGGAGCATCTGGAGGAGGAACTCAGTATGAGATAAAGAACAATTTTTATGACCTAGGAATCAAGTTCATATTTTAGTGTCCAAGCATGAAAGTATAGAGCTAATTTGAGCGGACTATATCCTTAGTCAGAAGTCAGAAGATGTGTGTTTTTTGTAACAAGCTGTTCAAAGCTGAAAAATAGTTAACATAGATGATTTGGATAAAAATTTTAATAACATAACCAATGAATTCAACTCCAAAAATGTTTCTTATCACTTTATGTTAGTCTCTTTAGCCACTGCAATATGTTATTGTGATATTTGGTGCAGTTTGGTAAATGACTGCTTTTCAGAGATTCAGGGAACATTTTTGTAGCATAACGACCTGATACTCAGCCAAAGAGTTGCAGTGATGACAAGTTTATTTACACTATGCACACGAGCACAGTGATTTTCACAGGCCAACAGTGTCTGGCTTATCATCCTGTCTCTGTTACTGCTTCCTGCTTACGGCTCAGCACCCCTCTCCAGGTCCCAGCATCTACTGTTAGGAGGAAATAGGAGTCGTGAAATCCCACAATTACTTCCAGGTGTATGTTGACCAGCCTCCCCTAGCCATGCCCCCTGAACTGCCGCTACACCCCTCCCCTGCAGCTGATATTTTCACAAAAAGATATTCTGACAGCTCATACATACAGCAGCTCTTCACTCTTTATTTTCAGATTTATATTTCCAAAATCCCACGAGTGGTTAATAATTTATTTTTTTTGCCTTCATCCTGCTTCACTGTTTTCTGCTGTGGTGCCATGTTGGACAGCAGCGCTGAGGCTGAGTCAGAGCAGCCGACACAGACGCAGCAGTCTGCATCTCTGTGTTTTATGATCTGTGTGTGGGTGTGACTTACAAACACATTCACAGACAAACTGTCAATATGCAAGCAAAGCAGTAACACGCACGCACACACACACACACACACACACACACACACACACAC